ACCCTTTGCTTCAGGAACTGAGTGCTTTGCTTTTCTGTGAAGCAAAGTAACATCTGGGATTGGGTGAGATCATTGTACTAAGTGTTTTTCTCTCTCTGAATATAGAAACTGCTAAGATAATACTTGAGCCTCAGCAAAACTACCACATTTCAAATTATGGAAAAGTAAGGCATCAGATAATCCTACTATATAATTTAACAAATTATTTCATGCTAAATTTCCATTTTCAACCCGAAAAGGTTAAACATAAAAGAACACAATGCTAGACTTAGTCATGATTTTTTTTTTTTTTTTATAGAAAACTCCAAAAGATTTTCAAAATTGACATAAAAAAGCCACCAAGCAATCAAAATTCATTCACAGGATATAGAAATTAACAAACTATTTTTCTTTTTTCCTGTAAAATGCAGAATAGTTAGTTTGGGGAGTAAGACATTGTGTGGTGCAATCTACTTTGACAGGTGAAGAGCAGAGGGACTCTGAAAGCAAAGAAGAGAATGGAAGAAGCACTGGGGTTCCATAAGCTGCATAATGGATTTTCCCTGGGGGGAACTCCTCTAATTTAGTAGTGTAATTTCTGTTCCTGAAAAGTGCGTTTTTTGGCTTAGTAGATTGGTATCATTGCTTCAGAACAAGAGACCTGAGTTTAAGTGTGGCCTTGAGTGTCTCATTCCTCAGGCTAAAGTAGCCAGGCAGTATTGTGCACTTTGAGAAAGAGTTGTAGCAGTTGATTGCACAGATACATCTGATTAGTTGATCCACAGAGTGACATTTTTATCAGACATTAAAAAGAACACCTGCTCACTCAGCCAGAAGTAAATGCTGTTCTTTCACAGCACCTGATGAAATTAACTTAGGTTCATTAAAACATGTGCTATTATATCCAGATATGCACCTTTATAGATTACATAAGATGCATTTATTTTATTTTAAGCCTCTTTAAATCAGGGGTGCTCAATCTCTGGCCTGCAGGCCAAATGCAGTCCCCCAAAGCCTTGGCATCTGGCCTGCAGAGCTCCCCAATTGTCAGGAAATTTGGCGGATGGGGCCGGGAGCAGTGGTAGTTAATACTGCTGCCCTTCCCCATTGCCACAATCCCAAGCCCCAAGCAGCAGGTCAGATATATAGATATATAGATGTTAGGGTCGGAAGGGACCTCAATAGATCATCGAGTCCGACCCCCTGCATAGGCAGGAAAGAGGGCTGGGGCTAGATGACCCCAGCTAGATGCTTATCTAACCTCCTCTTGAAGACCCCCAGGGTAGGGGAGAGCACCACCTCCCTTGGGAGCCCGTTCCAGACCTTGGCCACTCTAACTGTGAAGAAGTTCTTCCTAATGTCCAATCTAAATCTGCTCTCTGCTAGCTTGTGGCCATTATTTCTTGTAACCCCCGGGGGCGCCTTGGGGAATAAAAACTCACCAATTCCCTTCTGTGCCCCCGTGATGAACTTATAGGCAGCCACAAGGTCGCCTCTCAACCTTCTCTTGCAGAGGCTGAAGAGGTCCAGGTTCTCTAGTCTCTCCTCGTAGGGCTTGGCCTGCAGGCCCTTAACCATACGAGGGGCCCTTCTCTGGACCCTCTCCAGGTTATCCGCATCCTGGAGCTGGGTCACGATCGTTTCCCCACGTGACCAGATCAGGGCAGAACTACACCCTCCTCCCTCAGCATGGCCAGGTTGGGGCCAGGCTGCACCCCCTTCTCCCTGTGGGGCTGAACCATGGGGCCGTGAAGCTGAACCACACCCTCTCCTCCCCCCTATGGGTTGGGCCACCCTCTTTCCCCCTATCTGGCCACCCTACCAGTCCCCCTCTGCCTGCCTGGATTGGGCCAGGCTGCATCCCCTCCCCCATGTACCTGGATTTGGTCTTGCAGCACACACCCTGGATGCCCAATTGGATCTGGCCAGAGAGGGACCGGGCACTGCCCATCCGGTCCACTGACCGAAAACCTTGAGCACTACTGATTTAAACCATACCTAACACAGTTGGTGGATACTTTCTTGTTCTGCACTTCCCCATTCAAAAGGTTTTTGCTGTGGTTTTTTTTGTTTTTTTTCCCCCCCGAGACCAGCCATCTTAAGTCAGTGAGGTCACCTGGGTTCAAAAAGGCTTATGTACCCTCCCTCTCTCTATATCTCTTATTTAGTTTGTCTATAAAAGTGCATATCTACCTGGCCTTCCAAGCCTTCTGACTAACTTCAGACCAATATGGCTAGCTACCTCACTCCCAAAGGAGTCAACATTAGGGCACTATGACTGGTGCTGAAGCAGATGGCAGCAGGATCTTTCCTGAGTTTAATTTCTTTTCTCTAGTGCCAGGATCCAATGAAAGGGACCTTGAAATCTGCTTCTTAGAGCAGTGGAGTTCTTTTCTCTCATCCTAAGAAATTTTACTGCACGTTAAGGAGCACGAACAACACATGACACTGGAGGGACACGGCGGGCTCCTGTGGGTGGCGGCAACAGGAACGTGGAGACGGGGAGCTCCCGCAGGAGGTCACTGCCAGCACTGGCAATAGCCAGTGGAGATCACCTGCAGATGCTGCCAGCGGTAACCGCTCGCAGGCACTGCTGGCAATGTTGGTGGTGCTTTTCTCAGGGGGAGCACCGCCAATCTCAGGGGGTGCACGTGCACCCACTACATGTCACCAATGCTAAAGAGATCACTTGGAGACAAGCAGTTTCAGGGGTGTGAACTAAAAAGCTGACTGCACCATTCTTCAGAGACACCTGGTCAGGTATTTCAGTTCCAGCCATTCTTTCAGGATCTGAAGAAGGGCATACAGACCACACCCATAAAAGCAATTTCATGCAAAACTTCCACAGTTCTCTTAAAAAGTGACTTCATCTCTCATGGCTCATCTCTGGCATATGCCCTTTGCTGAAGTATAATTAGTTGGTGTGACCATACTTGAGGAGGTACTGCTGCCTCATAAAACTATTCTTACATCCAGAAGACTTCACTTTCATTCTAAGAGCTAGACCTGTAACCAGGTGATACGTCTCCAAGAAATATAACAATTATAACATATATATAAATGTTAACAAATAAATATAACAAATATAACAATTTTTTTTCTTTTTAAAGAAAAATGAATCACTAAACACCTAATTCTAGCTCTCACTTTCTAAAGTAATTACTGTCATAAAATCCCCAAGTGAGCACTTACTTCGGATTCTCAGTCTTATACAGTCTCTTGGCTTAGTCTCTGAAGCCAGCCCAGACACAGCTTATAGAGAGGATGAGCTTCTGGGACTTCAAGACGCAGCCTTCCAGTCCCTAACCCCCCTGGTTATTTACAGCTTTCCCTCTGAGAGCTGCTTTCTGGTTCAGTTCCTGGAGAGAAACTACCTCTTCAAAGGGGCAGAGTACACACAGAGTCACATGGAGCAAAGAAGTCAGCTCTTCTTAAAACAAAACAACCTTTATTGGTCCACAGCAATACAACGAGAGTCCTTCTGCCCTGATGCCCAAGCAGTTTGTCAGGAAAAACAGCCCTTGCTGTTCTTATTAAAACCAGTCTGCTCTCCTTCTGCCTCTCTCTCTTCTCTCCCTTAACTCTGGGGTTTTCCCTTTTTAGGACCATCTCTCAATGCCTCCCCGGCACCAGAAACAGGGTGAATTAGTTCTTTGTTGATTGATGCTATTAGCACAAAAAAAACCCCAAACCAAAAAACCCAAACAAACAAGCAAACAGAAAACCCCAAACCCCTTGCTTGTCTCAAATATCCCAAGAAAATTACAACTCGCTAGTATCTTTTATTAGATCAACTCAAATAGTTGGAAACATTCTTCTTTGCAAGCTTTCGGGTATAAATACCCTTCATATACCCAAAAGCTTGCAAAGAAGAATGTTTCCAACTATTTGTGTTGGTCTAATAAAATATATCAGATTTACCCAAAGAACCCTGTTTGCCTATGTCCTCAGACCAGGGATGGCCAACCTGCGGCTCTTCAGAAGTTAATATGCATTTCCTTGAATCTTTGCACAAGCACATGGTGACCAGGAAGCTGGTCACTGTGTGCTTGTGCAAAGATTCAAGGAGACTTTGTGCAAAGATTCAAGGAGATATTAACTTCTGAAGAGCCACATGTGGCTCTGGAGCTGCAGGTTGGTCACCCCTGCCTTAGACCAACACAGATACAACCCATACCCCTATACCCACTAATATAGCACTTCCAGTCTCCACTGTTCTGGTTCTCAACACAAATAACCCCTCCTTTCCCAGTGTACGAGCCAGTCAGGAAAACTGAGACATACAATATTATTTTTAACATTTAATGCAGTTAAACTAGAAAGATCATAACAAAGCCATAACTGCATCCATTCAAAAACACTGAAAACATATTGTACATCTCAGACCCTCCCGAAGTTCCACCTAAATAGTAGTGGTAGTCAGAAGGTTGGGGTTTCCACACCCATTAGACTTGGGGATAGAAGGTACAGAGGTAATTATAGTGCTCACATAGACCCCCTTCATACACACTGCTGGCCAGAAGAATCTAAGCTCAAGTGCTTGGGGCACGTGCTCTTTAACAGTAGAACATATCTGAAAAAGGATTTGAAATAACAGAACATGAATTTCTTTCCAAATTTAAATCTACTATAG